CACACACACACACACACGCTGTCACACACACACACACAGACACACACACACACACGCACATGCACACACACACATGCTATGAACATGACCGTCTGTTGAACTTCGGCCAACACTCACTCACCAGAACTCCCGTACACGCCCATACATGCACAGAAAAAGGGGGAGAGGTACTGGAGTGTCCCACGACTCCCACCGCCCAGAAGAAGAAACTCAACGGAAGACTCAGAGAAGCGAAGTGACAGAATACGTAATTCAGTGATTTCTCTCCACAACAATCATTCATAGATAACAACAGAGTGGTCGCAACACCGACTCACAAAATTCACAACCAGAAAGCAATGGGGAGATGACAACTCAAACACAGTATTAACACTGTTTATTGAACTCGGAGCATCGTACAACTAAAATAACCTCAGAAGTTCAGAACCCTGTTGCGCTACCCTSAAAGGGGTAGCGCCTCAACCCCAACACCCCGAACAACTAAAAACAGCAACGAAAGTTACGAAACCCCAGCCTCCCCACGACTCCAGGTAACACCCAGCGGGCCAGCGGCCCAGCGCCGCCCTTAGGCCCCTTACATCCGACTCAGTGGCCTGCRCGAAACTGAAATAGGCTCCCATARCYAATCGGCGATCGCCACTCAKATGATSAYGTAGAAGCTCACCGCCAACAGTACCTGATGAAGATGAAGTCCAGACAATGATAATCTCTGAGAAGATGCATCTATGGCTGGATCGCCACTGGGAGTCCGGGAGCCTGGGACCCAACTCCTAAGGAGGGTTAGCACTGACTCAGCAGTGCAGTACGYACTCCAACGCATCAGACCTCTGATAGCCCAGACCTCTCGTGTCCACATCCTATCTATAATGTACATATAGCCTACACCGACCTAGACCAGATTGACTAACCAGTTTTGGCCTCTAGGGCCTAACCCTACCCGGCTATAGGCTATAGGACCGTCTATCAGCATAGGCCCGTGGGGCCTCTCTGTCCTAGGGGTAGCCCGGGTCTGCTATTCGCAGTTTGGGTAGCAGTAGCCTGTAGCCTGTAGGGAAAATGAAGTTGGTACTGGGCCCATATTTCTATATTTACAGATATGTACCTCGTGAATTTTCCATACAGGTAGGTATCTCGGTCGGGGCCAGGTCCAGTCCTCATCCTCACGAGACGACCTCCGCCGTCATCTCCGTCTGCTGTACGGATCCTTGGGACGTAATCGGAGTCATCAGGATCGTCGGCGCCTGTGGTCTCACCGCCCTCAGTGGCTGTGGAGTTGTCGTCATGGAGGATGATCGTGTCGCCTCGTCTCTTCTCACCTCGACCTGCTTCGTCAACTCTGTCACCTCCCTCCGCCCCCCCCTGTCCATCTGCGGCAGCTGGCATCTGTCCGGTCTCGTCCCTGTTGCAGAAAAAAGGATGCAGGCGGCGCCGGTGATACGGAATCGACACACCTGTTCCCTTCTTCCTCGCCCGTGACAGCCTCGCAGTTGCCGTCCTGGTGTCATTGACATCGCTCGTCTTGGCCCGTATAGGCCTCCCATGCTGCTCCTCGTAAGCTCTCGTGGAATCATGACAAGTGCCATCGACGTTGCCGATCGATCGCACCCCCGCGGGCACATTTGCCGGTCCATATGCTGATGTCTGTCCGATATCGCCCGCCCTCCGGTCCATGCCCGCACCGTCGTAGAAAGACCTCGTAGGCAATGCGCTCGACGTGGCCTGCCCGTGGGCGGCAGGATCAGCGGCAGAGGGGCGTGAGGGTGGTGGACACATAATGTCACGCATCCCCGTCAAATGCGGTCGAGGCTCATCTGTGTGCCCGTCTCCAACGTCATGTGTGCTGGGCCTGACAATGCTGGGGTGTGCGGTCGATGACCCTCTGCGCTCGATGCCCCCCCTGAAGGACCGTCCACCATCTGCGCTCCCTGGCTGCGCTGTATCCTCGCTCACGCCCTCGCCTCCGTCCGAGCGGATAACTACGGGAGGTCTCGCCTCTAAAGTCTCCGCTGGGCCTCGATGTGGCTCTTGCTGCGGGCCCTCCTCTGGTGGATGGACTGATGACACGCCGTCCGATAACAACTGCGAACCATGACCCCCCTGCGCCAAAAAATCTCCAGACGCTGCCTCTAGTGAACCTTCCAGACTACGTTGAGTTGCGACGTGCGGTCCACCACGACGGTTCCGTGCTACCTCCTCCGCCAACCCCTGCTCCACCGCCCACGGTGCACCGACATGAAAAATGGCGGGAGTGCCGGACTCTCTAGGATGCAGTACCGTGTCGCCGCTGAACTCGTCGAACCCTCTGTCACGACGCGCGTCATCTCGTCTAGCAGGCTCCGGTGGTGCCACAACCGGCAAAGTGGGAGATATCAGTAGCGATATATCGGGCAGAGATGCCAAGGCGGAATCCATGGTGAATAGCTCGTCGGTGGGCGGAAGACTGTCGGGCGGGCAGTCGAGGCCGACGTGGTGGTCCGTGGGAGGACGTTCGTCCTCCCCGTCCTTTCCACAAGTGGGAGTGGGTGCAACCTCTCCCTCCTCTAGACCGCCGTCACTCGTGTG